GTGCCGAACTCGTCAAGAACGTTGCCGAGATTGAAGATGCAGAACGTAAAATCAAAACACAGTGAGCAAAGATTGCTGTAATTGAGTTTTATCGTCCCATGAACTGAAACCGTTGTGTTTTTCAGTATCACATGCATGTGTTTCAATCATAGAGCAGAATTTTAATGAATGAATTGATTGTGAATTTTAAAAGTTTAGACGAACACTTTCGATATGTGAACGCATATATTTGGGTTATTCGGGTGATTGCTTCTGTAATGGTCATTCGTCAACGTGCGATCTAATTGGGCATTTTTGCGTGGATTGTGCCGATAATACAGATGGAGTACAATGTGAGCAGTAAGTTTTGAAGTGCATAAATCGACGAACATATTTCAAGCTTCTTCTTGTTCAGCACAGTTCAATCTTTTGCTAAATTTCGATCCTCAACTCGAACTATTCCAATGTTTATCAATGTTGGGGAAACTGAACCACATCACTGTCAATTTCTCTTTTTATTCCACGGGAAATGTGATATCATAAGCAATATATTGCAGATGTTCAGCAGGTTATAGTGGAAGTGCTTTAGCGGATTCATTGGATGGTTGTACAGAAATGTCAACAAATCAATCGTCCTCCATATGCACGTGTAACAGGCATTCATCGAGCTGTGATTCAGATGGCATATGCCAGGTTTGTCTGCTTCATCGTTCAGTCAACAAGATATGGGAATGTTCTCATTTCAAATGGGAATTTTCATTTAAACAGATTCATTCAAACCAATTTGAACGCCTTAGCAAATCTTAATACAAAACACAATTCTAAAACTTAAGGATTGTGAACATAACACAACGGGTACAAAATGTGAACATTGCAAATCAGGCTTCTATGGGGATGCCACTCAAGGTACCAAGGACGATTGCATTAAGTGTCCGTGCGGGTAAGTTGAATGGCCACAACTTGCTGATTGTAATGATTCTATGAAATATCTTTTAAGAAGATCTGGAGATGTGATATCCCACACTGGATCTAATAATCATTTCATTTGATAGGATATATAAGGATATGTTGTGAAGAGGATATACAGAATGTTCAGAGAATAAGTTCTTTCAGTGAGGGAGGAGAGTGTTTTGTGAACAGCGATTCATTGTTGGAATGTCGTGTTTGCAACAGCGAAACACCAAACAAAATGTGTAATACACGCAAATGATCGCATGA